GAACGTCGGTCGCACCTTTGCCTGTCCTGCCACAACGTCCCCTGATGTTAGAATATATATGTAACTGCCTGTAGCTGTAGTTTAGTGTAGTTATTATAAACTGTTGGTGGTGCACCTTCTTTGCATGCTCTGTTTGCTATATGTACCCTAGTGCTATAGTGAACATCATTCCCATTCTCGACTTTCTCCTTGGCACAACTTTCTCGACTTCCCCTTGGCCTAGGCTACTAAGCCTAGGCCCTACCTAAACTTAACTACCACTTGTGCTCCTATCTTGACATGGAATCAGAGCCTGTTAAGTCCAGGCCTGTGGGCCCGCCTCACGCTTCCGCTGCTGTTTTTCCGGTCGCGCGCCTCGGGCGCGTGGCGATTTTCGTCCTGTCCCGCGCCCGGGTGGCGCGTGACATCTTTTCTGCCCGTCACGCGCCCCGTGGCACGCGACGGTGCCCTGCCCGTCGTGCGCCCCGTGGCACGCGACGGTGCCCTGCCCGTCGTGCGCCCCGTGGCACGCGACGGTGCCCTGCCCGTCATGCGCCCCGTGGCACGCGACGGTGCCCTGCCCGTCGTGCGCCCCGTGGCACGCGACGGTGCCCTAAACTGCCCGTCGCGTGCCCCGTGGTGCGCGACGGTGCCCTGAGCCACCGCGGATCCGCCCCTGGCGCCCGCGATGGTGTCCTGAGCCGCCGCGGACCCGCCCCTGGCGCCCGCGGCGGTGCCCCTGCCTCACCCGCGTCTGCACTCGCTGCAGCCGCCCCTGCACCACCCAGCGCCTGCCCTTGGAGCAGCCGCCCCCGCTCCTGCACTCGGTGCAGCTGCCTCTGCCTCACCCCGCGCCTGCACTCGCTGCAGCCGCCCCTGACCTACCCGCGCCGACCCTCTGTAGCCGCTCTGCGGCTTTCTCCCCACCCACCCCCTCCTCCTTCGTCTCCCTGCAGCCGTGGGGGGGAGGGTATGGGGGTGGCGGGTGTGGGGGTGATGGGTGGTGTGCTTCCCTTCCCCTCCTCCTCCTTTCGTTCCCACTGCTGCAGCTGCCGCTGGGGGGGAGGGTGTGAGGGTGTGGGGGAGCCGGGGGAGTGGCACTGGGGTGGCGAGTGTGAGACCAACCAGCAGCCGTCCCTCCACCTCTCCTCTCTTCCCCCCTCTGCTGCTCCTGCAGCAGTGTGGGGGGGAGGGGGAGGGGGAGGGTGAGGAGATGGAGGGGGTGACCAGCCAGAGCCAGCCCGCCTCCTCACTCTCCCTGCTGCCCCTCCTGTGGTCGGGGGGGGAAGAGAGTAAGGGGGTGGCAGGAATGTCTTGCTGTCGCCTGTCCCTTTGCTGCTGTACCTGCTCTGTTACCGTGCCTGCTGTTGCTGTTGCTGGTGTACCCCTGCAGGTTGTGTTCTGCACAAACTCCTGCTGCAGGCAGTTATGGGGGAGTGTTAGAATATATATGTAACTGCCTGTAGCTGTAGTTTAGTGTAGTTATTATAAACTGTTGGTGGTGCACCTTCTTTGCATGCTCTGTTTGCTATATGTACCCTAGTGCTATAGTGAACATCATTCCCATTCTCGACTTTCTCCTTGGCACAACTTTCTCGACTTCCCCTTGGCCTAGGCTACTAAGCCTAGGCCCTACCTAAACTTAACTACCACTTGCATTCCTGTTTCTTTTTTCACACCTGACACCTGCGTGCTTGGTGCAGAGACTGCACTTGAAAGCAGGCAGACCACGAACAGTTTTAGTTAGTACAAGCCAAGGGAAACGCTCAACCCACTTAGACTTATACTTCTCCAGTGCCTCGGCATAGATGGCATCAATAAGCTCCTGAACGTTTATGTTCAGAGCCGGGTGCGCGGTGGTTTCGTTGACGACAGCCTCCGAGACTGGGACGGTTGTTGATGACGTCCAGAAGCTCAGCTTCCGCTGCTTGAGCTTGATTGCGCGCGTCGCTGACGACTTCGACGCGGACGTGCCGATGTGAACGGTGTCGGAAACACCAGGCGGCGCAGGAGGGTTGGCCCGGATAGAATCCGGGCTTGAAGGCACGTCCGGATTCTCAGGCACCATAGGAACGGGACCGGGTGCAGTCGACGCAGGAGGTGGAAATGGACGGCCTAATGATCTAAGGAGAAGATCCAGCCCTGTACGGGCTTCTTCGATGGCTACGCTATCGGCGTCGTCTAGATCGGCGTCAGCCTCATCGTCTGAAAGGCCAGCCATGGCGGAACACAGACGAGAGCGAGCCGAGCACAGAGAGAGCGTGCCGAGCACTGAGAGAGCGAGCGGAAAATGGTTTGGTGTTGGAGGCGAATGAATAGAAATGAAACCCTAGCGGGCTAGGGGGTGGGGTGGGGGAGTCCAGCAACTGCCAGAGGATATGTAAAAACGAGCTGATGAAGCGGGCTTGGTTGGCAAGCTACCCGTGCCACGATACAAGGCGACGTGCCCCTGGTAATCATGCACGAACCGATGTACCTAGACTACCGGAATTCAGGGCACTCACGCGAATCTCCATTACAGGGATTTCAGCCCAACCCTTTGTTATAGCTCTGACGATACAGCGTACACCACTGGAAAAAAACTGATATTTCAGCACAGACATATTCTAAAAAACTGAACTATCAGCAAACACATTAAAAAAACAAAGCTGACACAGCAGCCTCAAGAATCCCCCACCACTGAAATCACAGCCTTTTTACCCCTAATCAGCCTTTTTTCGCTGACTTCTGAGGGCCTGCCATGTAGGGGCCTGATTCCGATGGCAGACCGTCAACATTCGTGTTCGAGCTCCATGAAGAGAAAGTCAAGGGCTACGAAGGCCCCTGTGATCACGACGCCTGCGTTGAGGTCTGCACCGACTTTGCTGAACGAATCGTGGGGAACCTGGAGAGGAGGCTGAGTGACTTAGACTCTCTGTCTGGTGTCCGTCTGTTCCTGCCGGATGAGTGGCCAAAGAGCAAGTCGGAGCGTCATGCACGATGCGTCGAGTGACTGAACTCGCTGGTGACGCTGTTCAAGGCGCACGCGGCAGAAGACATACTGCCAGGTGAGTTATGTTTTGGGTTTTGATAGTCTCACTGCCATGCTATTGTTTCTCGAGCTCAGCGCGTGAACTCATGCATTGTTTCCCAATACATCCACTTATGTTATGTCCCTGCCAGGGATCAACAAGCGGCAGGCCCACAAGGAGCTTCGGTTGTTCTGCTCTGTCCGTGCCGCTGCACCGAAGGGGGAGAGGACTTTCCACGATAGCCTCACCGCAATTTTGAAGACTTCGGACTGGCGGGAGAGCTACCCCAACCTCGTGCAGCTGTGGGTAGCCGTGGCGGTGATTCCCCTTAGCACTGTGGAGTGCGAACGGGGCTTCTCTCGCCAGAACGTGATCAAGTCTTGGCTGCGGAGTGGCCTCAAGGATGCAAGGCTGGGGGACTTGATGTGCATGTCTCTGATGCCGTACGAGCCTCAGTACGACGAGGTGGTCGAGATCTGGAGGAGCTACAGGAAAAGGAAGCCATTTTCTAATGCCCCAATTTTCACCCCATCTCCAGGTGAATGCAGCAAGAAGGGAAAAGCAACGGCAGCTATGCAGGTAGATGAACCCCATGCTGTAGATGCTTTAGGCTCTAGCGATAGTGAAGAGGATGATGATGATGATGAAGAGGATGATGACATGTTTCACTAGATTTAATGTAATCGTTTGATATATCAATGCAAAACTTGTAAACTAGGTGTCTTGTCTTGTCTGGGAAAAATGGATCGGGCTTTACCAAATGGTGACGCTGATCGTTCAGATTTTTTTCCGATATACTGTCTGAAAAGTCAGGTTTTTTTATTACAACACCACTGATCGATCAGCCATGGACACACTCCTAAGTTTGACCAGTCAGCCTACGCCAAAACGAATCTGAGGCCTTGATGCACCCGGGTGGTACGGTATGTAGCTTTTTCCTATGAGAAGACCCCCCCCATTTTTTTGCTGTATTTAAAGTAAGACCCTAGGGTGTTATGTCCGGGTGATTACGGTACAAGGTTTTATATGATTACAAGGAATACGAAAGGTTTAACGGCAACTGCTGTTGCGGTTCGATAAACGACGACTCGGGTGACTTCTCAATACTGTCATCGCCCGGATATAAGACATGTATGTCTTATCTCATACATTAAAAAAATCAGTCTTATAAATGGACAAAAATCCGTTTAGAAGATACTTCCTCGTTATACATTTGCCATTTGCCCCTACACACAAATAGGTGTCTTATAATGAGGCTACCCCGTTTATAAGAGACACCCGTATAATAGACAACCCCTGTCTACTATTCAACACTGTCTTATATCCGGGTGATGACGGTAGCGAGTCAGTTATGTGTCCTTGCTGTCGCAGTGCTTTTCGGCGAATCAAAGGTCGCTGACATTGACCTTCACTTAACCTCTTGCTGTCATCTTCTTGTCAACCGCCTTGGTTGACTCGCCATTACTTCGTTGTAGTTCGCTTCGCTTTCGTTGTAGTGTTCGATACTTCGGAAGCGCAAACTAGATGTTTCCAACAAAATATACCATCATCCTGAAATTGCAAGGAAAACACCTGACACTATCCCAAAATCAGGGTAATCAGGATGTTTTACCCTGATGTCGTGGGGCCTCTCCACTCCTTACCGCACGCCCAGACCGAACTACAAACCCGACAACTAAGCCTTCACACTTACCAGTAAATCATAACACACAAGGAAAAGTTAATTCCTTACATGTGGTGCTCAAGATCTCTTGTAAGACAATGATGGTACGCATTCATTCCGCAAGCTACAGCAATGCATCATGCCACCCACCCCCCTCCTCCCTCACCCCCTTCCCCTTTCCCCTGCGCACCCCCCCCCCCCCCCCCCCCTCCACTCCCCAAACCCCACTTAATTTCCCCCTCCTTCCTTAGCCCCCTTTCCCCGCCCCAGTTCAGCAAAATTCAGGCCTCAGCAGCATGCCTCAGCAGCACCCCTATCTAAAGAAAAATGTAATGCATATCATGCACTTAGTTTCTTTTCTTAAGCACGGCCTGTAACACGGCAGAGCCCATGAACACGCCAATGGCCGGTTGGAACAAGGGGTCCCACAGCTTCAACCACGCCAGCAGCAGCCCGTCGTCATTCGAGATAGACCGCTGCAGCACGCCCGTTAGGAACCAGACAAGAGCAATTGTGATTAAAAAGAAGTCCGCCACCAGAATCTTATCCACCACCTCCTTCCACGCTACCCCTCCGCTCTCCGAGTTTTTCCCACCACCGCCGGGCCGCGTGCTGCCACCATCGGAGTCGTAACCGCTCTCCTGCAGCTCGCGAAGCTCCTGATAGCTCGCCTTGTCGAGCCGCTCCATGACCTGCTTACGTGTCAATCGTTGCGCCTCCTCCCTTACTGTGTCGGCATGTACCGCCTCAAAATCAGTTGCTGCAGCCGAATCGGCTTCAATCTCGCGGCGCCATAGCTCCCTCGCGTCGCAATTCGGGTCTGCTCGCGTCAAAATACGCCGGGTACTCCGGGGAATGTGCGGCGCTGCTTTACTGGTGGACGAAAGGAGCGACAACCTGTGAGATGCTGGAGACGCACATCTACGCGGCAGTGCGATGCCTTGTGTTGTCACACCATCGCTTAGAAAAGTTCGCATCATGGCTCGTAAAGAACTGGTGGACGTCATGCTATACCGGCAATCAACGAAACGTGTTTCAACGCTGTGCGTGTAACACTGTCGGAGATTATCGAAGGATGGCAGGGCCTATCGAAGTAGTGACTGCACAACACGGTGAACTATTGGATTCATCAGTCTCTGAGCGAATTGGTTTACTGTGATGAGGAGAAAGAAGAACTGCTGCGGCAGTGAGCGGGGATGGATGTGTAGAAGAAATCCATCGGAGGTTCTTGCGCCAATCACCAGCAGCCACGCGTGAGCATTAACAACACTGACGTTAAGTCGTAATGAATCTCAACGTTAGAAAACCAAAAAGAGTGTAGAATGGTCTCTATCACATCACGTTTCAATGAACCACCACCCCATACATGTGGATGTGATATATACATCAGGGCAAGTTTGCTGAAAACTGCATAGAAGATATTTATTGTAAACAGACGCACAGTGATCTTTTAGAGAATTGTGATTAGGTAATGAGTCAATAACAGACTACCAGTCTTCTTTGATCTCAAAAGAGTAAGAAAATGTCAAGTGAACTTTGCCATCGTCATCAGTGAACTGCAGAACGGGAGGGAAGCAGACAGCAAGTAAACAATACTAAGTTCGGCCAATACATCACTGCTTTGATACAATATAGAGAGTTGGAAGAAGAGACATGCACAGAAAGGTGGACATGAAACTCGCACCTTTGTCTCTGCCGTATATTTGCCACGGACATCCTCTCCGTCAGGCGTTGTCTCTTCCTCCGTCACATAGACATACGGCTTTGCTTGGGGCGCATATGCTCCAAGCATCACCTTAGAAGTATCCACTGCACAATGTTGAAGGGACAACGAAGGGATAAAAAACAGACAGTGGGAAGGGAGAAGGGGACAAAGAGTGCAAGTATACATGCATTTGGTAAAGCTCGCACCATTGAACGCACCGACAGACGAAGTGAGATCAGATATAGAACAAGGGAGGATGACAGCAACTGCTGGCATAGTGAAAACCCAATACCATCTCTCTGGTGGACTCCCAGCGCTTCAATCCTTCAAATGTTTGCTCCACACACACACGCAAGAAAATAATACGCATTTCCTGATGAGTAGACCACTGCTTCGTGTCCCCCTGACCAACACGCCAAGTCGTATTCGGCTTCATTGATTCATTTCATTCCATGTGGCTACATCAATTCAATCTTTGGTCACTCTCAATGGATGCCAAACGGAGGAACAATCCTACATAAGACGTTCAACCAGCTGCTGCCGCTGCGAGCTCACCTTGATCGCCGTCCTTATACACGGTGTTGACATACGTGAGGCCCAGCACCACGTCGTTCGCGACTGTAAATTCGAACTGCAGCCGGTACTTGCACCGCTCCTTCAGCTCGAAGCTCGCCGGCGACGCCACGGCCTCGCCGTCCTTAGGCAACGGAAGCACGATGGGGTCCCGCTCCTCCACGAGCAGCCGCACAGCCGAAAACTCGACCGCGGAGCCTCCTCGCTTGCCTGGCACGTAAAAAACAACGCTGCGCTTGATAAGATCCCATCGGGCTATGGAAAGCGGCTACACGAAAAGGAATATGCGAAGACTGTGCGACCTTTGTCGTCGAGCGATAGTTCGCCTAATAGGCTCTCCTTCCACCTCCGTAAGCTCTCGTCATCCTGAAACGAAGCACCGATATCCAGTCATCACGCAGAAGAATGAAGAGGATAGCGGGTGAAAGGTACGGTGAGAAATAAATGTTGAGCGCACATGCGAGTACCCGAACGAACCTTGTCCTTTTCTAGCTGGTCTGTCAATGGAACGTGCTTGGAAGGAATATACTGCGGAATGTGTCCCCCGCTGCTGCTGTCAGCGCCGCTATTCTCTGCCATAACTTAATCTTTAAAGTATGCGGTCTCTAAATATGGCGCAGCGGGTTACCAGCAAAGTTCCACCAGGAGAAGCTAGAGCAACTTAGTACTGTAGCAGGGACTGAGTGGTGGTCGTTGGTGGGTAGGAGAATAGAAGGGCATGCTGGGACGAGGGAGCAACTCTTGCGATGAAACCAGTGCGTGAGACACATCGTTACAATGTCCCCCAAATTCGTCAAACCGTCGTCAGTCCATGTGGGGTGGGTCGTCAAGCCAAACCAGACTGAACATGTTGGCGCAGTGTACTGGCACTTCACTGTATTCCAGTAACTACAGTGTGTCGGGGAATTTCATACCCTGTATACCGCCACCAAGCGAATCTTATAAACCGAACTGAGCTGTCGAATTTTCGACGACTACCGCACTTCACTTCACTGTACCACACTCCGTGTCCAACCCGCATGGGTAGTTTTAGGTTGCAATGCAAGGTGCTTGGGTCGAACAGCTTGAAGAATCTTGTGCTGCCATAACCTGACCTTGTTATCATCAACCCACCTGTGGCATGCATGGCCGTCGCGGGGTCTGTCTGTCCGATCTGCCTTGACGAACCTCAAGACGAGGCGTTTCTCGAGCCGTGCTTCCGTAGGTGCCATAGCCCTTCACACAACAGCACAGTCGTTCCGTAGGTACCACTGTCGGATGCTGCTTTGCTAAGGATTTCGTTCTGACACCTTTGTGCGAGTTCTGACTGGCTTTCCCTTTCCCCATCCTCCTCCTCCTCCCTTCGCTTCCTTCTTCTCCGTTTCGCGGGTAAAACCGACGGGATGTTTCGCGGTGGGATTCGACCCTCAACGAACTACGACGGTGTAACCGGCGTCGACGAACGTCGTCGAGCCTTGGTTACTGCCAGACAGCTTCTGCTTCGCCTGCATCGTGCGATGGCTCGAGTCCTGCACCCGCTGCCCCATCATCCCTCCGCACTTACGCCATCAGCACCAGCAGCAGCAACAACCGTCCGATGTTGCGCTCACCGATGCTCATGTTGCCACGTCACCGGGGCTCGAATCGGCGGTTCAGTTTGCAGCAGATGGTGACGTTGCAGCTGCTGAAGCTGGACGAGGCACATCTTCGCATGCTGATGTCAGCAGTCAACAGCAACCCAGGAGACCAGCTGTGTGCCCCGTTTGCAAGGTAGGTAGAGCGAGGTAGCATGAGGTACCTTGGTGGTGTGTGGATCAATCCCTGTGGGATCGATTCTCGCCTATGTGGAGACTGGATGGCGGTAAGTGAAGGAGGGGGGGGGAAACCCTCATTGGCTGACGAGGCGAGAGAGGTTCAAATTGTCTCTCTCGCTGAAATAGCCTCCTCCGTTGCTGAGTCTGCTTGTAGCATCAATCACGCCACTGCTGCTGCGCCCTTCCCTCCGTTACCCTGCGCGCATCTTCCCCCAGGCCGCGCCTCTCTCCATCATCCATCACGTCAACCTCGCCGCTGCTGACTTCGACCAGCTGCCCATCCTGCCGTTTCATTCTGCACAGCAAGGGGCCTTCGATCCTGCGGCTGAGGCAGCTGCGGGGAGCCATGCGGAAGGCAGGCATGGAAGCAGCGGGGGTAGGAGGATGAGGTATGAGAGTATAACCCGTGCACATCATTTCACCTGCGCTTCTTTCCTCCCTTGTGCTTTTTTTCCTCTTTTTTTGGAGGGGGGGGGGGGGGGGGGAGGGGACGCTCTAAGGGATTACTCAGATGCGTTGATCTCGTCCGCTCGCTCTTATTTTGGTAACTTCTCCATGGATTTCCCACCCTCCACATGATTCCCCTCTGGTTTGCTCCTACTTATCTTCCATCACTCCCTACCTCTCTCCCCTTTTTCTATCACTCCCCCAGCGCGTTTGTGCCCTCTGGGGAGCATTGCAAGCGGAGGCGCCTTTACACCAGCTCGCCTACGGCAATGGCGCCAGCGCTGCCATCGCCTGCACCGTCTCCGTCACCACTGTCTGCAGCACGGGGTGCAGAGAGCACGAGAGGGAGGGCAGGCGGAACGGCCAAGGGCGGGTGGCAGCAGCGGGGGCGGCAGCGGGTGGCGGAGAGTGCGCCGACAGAGAGTGTGGTGCGCGCGTGGATGACTTTGGAGCTGCAGGCTCTCATAAAGGTCAGTGAGCGTGCTTGCGCTTGTGTGTGCGTGCGAGAGTGGTTTCCGTGTGGTGGGATGGATGAGTGGGGGGGGATGCTTGTCAATGTGCTGGCCAGCACAGTGAGGGAAAGGTTTGGCATGCACTCGTGCCATCCTTGCTCAAGTACCACCTTCCCTCCATTCACCAACCAACGTGTGTATGCATCCATGTTCGCATGCATGTGTGTACGTTTGCATGTGAGGCATTCGTGCATATGTGCGTGCATGTGCATGTGCATGTGCATGTGCATTCATGCAGGAGCAGGACGTGGGCATGGTGGTGGATCATCTCCTCGCAGTCTTCATCCACCCGCCCGCCACCCAGCCCCCATCAGCACCGCTCCCTGCCACCTCGGCACCTGCTGCACCAGCAGCAACATGTACGAGGCGTGGCAGGGTGTCAGGTCATCAGGCGTCAAGGCACCCTCCCATCAGCACCATGAGGACTGTGTGGGCCCCCAAATCCGCCGTGCACCCACTTCTCACTGCCTGCCCACCCCTCGTTGCACGCCCCCCACTCACTGGCACTCCCCGCCCCCCTGTGGTGGCCCACCTGTCTGTGCTAGCAGAGGCGGCTCGCCCCTTCCTGTTCGACCGTGCCTTTGCCTTCGCTGTCCGCCTCTTCTCCTTCGCGCACCCGCAACCTGCTGCTGGTGCTGCTGCTGGGGCAGGAAAGCAACAGGCGGTAGGGCGAGAGGAGCAATTAAGGGGGGCAGGAAGTGCAAGTGGGAGAGAGTCTGGGAAAGAAGGTGCAGGCGATGGAGGAGGAGCATCGGACAACTCACAAGGGCAGATGGGCGTAGTGGGGAGCAGAGAGGCAGCAGAGGGCGGTGCATGTGGGGTGGAGCAAGCAGGTGGAGAGCAACCCTGGCAAGCAGTGGCGCACGGTGGAAGAGGCAGTGGAGAGCATGATGGGGAAGGGCGGCAGGGAGCAGGTGGTGTGAGAAGCGTGAGGGGGAAGGAGCAGCTGTCAGTGGGAGAAGGGAGGTGGCGGAAGGTGGTGGTGGAAGAGAGGGCATCGGAGGATGTGTATGGGGAGCTTGAGGGCGCTGAGGATGGTGGTGATGATGAGGGCGATGATTTCAACGGTGACTGGGATGAGTAGCAGCTCCGCCATTTGCCGACCCCACCTGCAAAAGAACAGAGCGATTGGTGCCGTGTTTTTGGGAGATACTGTAGAACTGTTGTACAATTCGGCTTGTGTGTGTCATTGCAAGGTTGCCGCGGTGTGGCTGCCAGTGAGGTCGGTGCTGGCAAGTATCCCTGCAGCTGTCATTCCAGTCCAGTGGCACTCCTACCTAGCGAGTGTGCCGTTGTTGGAAACAAGTGATTTATAACGCTTCTGTCGTATCGAGACTTCGACACAAAACGGAACTGACTACAGCGAAGAAGCACTCGAGTCAACCAAGGCAACCGTCAGAGGTTGCGCGAAGGTCAAAGGTCTCCGACCTTTGACCCGACGAAACGTACAGTGCGACAGCAAGGACACATTGTTGGAAACAAGTGATTTATAGCGCCTCTGTCGTATCGAAGCTGCGACACAAAACGGAACTGACTACAGCGAAGAAGCACGCGAGTCAACTGTCGGAGGTTACGTGAAGGTCAAAGGTCTCCGACCTTTGACCTGACGAAATGTACAGTGCGACAGCAAGGACACATAACTGACTCGTTACAGAGCAGTTACCCGAGTCGGCACTGTATCGAACCGCAACAGCAAAACAGTTAAAATAGAACTCTTTATATTCCTTGTAATCGTATAAAAGGCCTGTATCCCTTTGCTATCATCAACTTATCTTGTTCTCACACACTAGTACAAGGTGGTTCACGTCAACTCTTCATTAAATGCTTCCGCTGTTACAACTCTACGTCAAATGCCTGATCTTTGTCCTGAAAGTTCCTAAGGGCCTTTCTCAGCCCAACACACATAACTGACTCGTTACAGAGCAGTTACCCGAGTCGGCACTGTATCGAACCGCAACAGCAAAAACAGTTAAAATAGAACTTTCAATATTCCTTTGTAATCATATAAAAGCCTTGTACTTCTCTGCTATTATTAACTTATCTTGTTCTCACAAACTAGCACAAGGTGATTCACGACAACTCTTCATTAAAACGCTTCCGCTATTACGTCTCTACGTCAACACTTGATCTCAGTCCTGAAAGTTCCTAAGGGCTTTTCTCAGCCCAACATGGTATGAGAGCAAGGCAGGACAAGATCATTTTTTATTTTAACCTTTTACAATACAAGTCATGGCTACACAAAAAGAGAGGAGCTCCTCCAACGGATCTCTCGGCACCACCCCTACTCCTGTCAAACATATATATATATATATATATATTTGTTATAGTTTGGGTAGGCTTAGTGGGGTACTCACTGTGGGGTACAACCCCTTAGGTTTCTCCTTTGTACCATCCTCTCGATAGTCCATTTTTCACTCATGCCTATACTCTAAGATGGTAGATAAAGCCTAGAGGCCTTTAGGACCTAAGATTAGGGCCCACCCGTTACCACATTACCTCATTTGCCTGCCTGCCTTGCCTGCTGCCAGCGCGCGCCTCAGCTGCACGCGCGCGGCCCCAATTTTTTTCCTTTTTCCCCCGCGCGCCACGACAGTCGCCCGAGCAGCCTGCCGCCGGCCCGCGCGCCGCGAAAGCCGCCCGCGCGCAGCCCGCTTAGGCCCTGCGCGCCGCATCTGCCGCCCGCGCAGCCTGCCGCCGGCCCCTTGCGTCGCCTCCTCCGGTGTGTAGCCCGCCCCTGCTCCGCGCGCCGCCTTAGGAGCCAGCGCACGGTCTACTGCTGCACCGTGGCCCGCCTTAGGAGCTCGTGTGCGGCCCGTTGCTGCACCAC